GCGTTTAAGGGGGTGCGCCCTCGCCCCCTAGATACGCCACTGATGCATCATAAGGACCCACATACATGTATATGAAAAAGTGAGGTAAAAGGCTAAGCCACCTAGTGTACCTGAATAGTAAACAATTTGTTTTGTAATCATTATTGTGGAAACATTTAAAACCATATGCAGTTAAATGATATTCTATAAATGTATAAAACTTGAAATTAATCCTGTTTTCCACTAGGCAATTTATTCACGTGAATCAAAAGCATTTTCACTTGGCAAAAAGTAAAAAACAGTTGGAACTCCAATAAAAATGCGAATGTGCATGCACATTAACGGACACAAATAAATTCGCCTAGTGGAAAACAGCCTGCATGATATTACAAAGCACTCACTGAAGTACAAAAGATAGAAAGGCATGGAAGCAAAGCCACATATATTTATAATATACTATTATGAATTTGTTACACATTTTATAATTTTTCCAAGACAATTCAATAATAAAATAAATTTAGTTTATTATCTACTTGGATTGAAATAATACTTTGTTGTCGTGTGCTGGAGTCCAAGACTAAAGCTCCATTCTCCCAACTACAAGCTACTATACCAGGACAGAGCTACACAAATTATTTTAGTTTCCTAGAAACAATAAATGAAGAAAAAAATAAGAAGACTAATTGCTTCATATTTAATGATTCACTTTTTAAAGTGATGCAGGAAGGTGTGATAAGTAATTATATTATAAAACCGATGCTTTAATAATGTGACAATTTGTAAGAAATCCAATAATTTAATTTTAAAAACTACAATTAGAAAATTATTGCAACTTTCCTTATAGTTCCGCATTAGCGTTCAATTCCACGACTGCATCTATATATTGGAAGCACATTCGTTCCATCCAGGTTACACAGTTGGCCTTTATGTAACCGCCTTCGTAGAAACCAAGATGGCCGCCATGTTTGGTTGTCACGTGCATCGCCTTATCAGCAGTCTGTATATAGGCTTCAGGTGTGTCGTTATACTTTGGTGGAATAAGAGCATCATCTTCAGAGTTTAACATCAGCATTGGTATATATATCTATAAAGATGAAAACCATGTCAATGCGTTTTAACAAATGGTACGATATGAGGTCTTTACAAAGATTTAAAAAGCTGCCATTAAAGGCATTAAGGTATATTAATGTAACTTTGACTTCATATCTGGTTATTGGGTGGTTATACAGCACCTTTTTCTTGTGGTTACGATTGTGCTTTTTTTGAATTCCTGACCATTGGGTCCACATGTTGTCGTATTGCTACAAAAGCAGGCAACCCCAACAGGTACCCAGTTATACTCCTGATGGAGACAAGCACAGGGCAGATTAAGTATAACACAAGCAAAATGCACAGCGAGAGCAGAATCCCCTCAATGAAGCAACAGATCATTTGCCTATGTCAACATGTTTTTTACAGAGAAATGTTTAAGGAATTAATGTTGCATTACAGTGCACCCTCAAATTCAAGACCCTCTAATTCTGAGACCCCCTGTAATTCAAGACCACTTTTTCAAAGAACCAATTAACAATCTTGTATATTTGAAAACAAAAGTTCCTTTTTGTGGCTCTGTATAATGCATGTGTGCTTCATAAATCCATATCATTACATTATTATTATTATTAAATGCAAAGGTATGTATCTCCATTCCACTATTTCTGTTTTTATCTATTCAGCAACTGTATTACCTTGTGAATGTGGTTGCTGGAGCTGCACCAACGATAGAAATCATTCAGACTGTCAAATCCAAGCATTTTTCTGGAAAAACAAAACAAAAAAAATTATTTTTGTTACAAGGTCAACAATTATTGTCTCAACTTTAAAAGGTGGTTTTCATAATATCACAACTTCCATCATGTACAAAAATTCAAACAATTACATATTTATTGAATGGACAAATAAAAACCTACTGTGTTGTACCATATTTATACTGAAACTTATTTTTTAAATACAAAAGTATACTACTATATATTACTTATAGTACATTGGATTGGATTTATTCGGTGTAAACACCAAGGATAGCCCACGAAGGTCTAGAAGAAGACTTATTTCCAGTGGGGTCCTTCTGGTGGTGATTGGGCAGTACACAGGGAGAAAATCTCCTAATCTTTTTCGAAGAGTGTACTGCGTTCTTTAATGTGCACATGGGCCATCAATGCACATGGGACCAACGGCTTAAACATCTCATCCGAAAGACGGTGCGCTATTATAACTTGTATTTCAGCCCTCCAGCTGAAATACATGGAGAGGCAGTGATAGGAATTGAACCGGGGACCTAGAGATCTCCATGGTTCAGCGCACACACAGTGGCTACCACCAGTTTAGCCAACTGAGCTAAGCTGCTCTCACAAATTTTACATAAAAGAACCACTTGCTAAAAGAGGCTTGTCCCTATTTGCTTTATTAGAGCCTATTTCCATTATTAGACAAACTGTCACAAGAAATGGCCTACCAAAATAGTTGTCTTCATGAGAGGGAATTAAAAAATTGCTAAAAATCGGTACAACTGATATGCAGATAGTGAAGGTATGTGCGACTCCACAGTGAAAAAAAGCTGTGCTCTGTGAGCATGGTACAGATCCATATTAAATATGTCAGGAGTGTTAAAGGCTTCTGTTATTTTAAGTGGATATTACATGTGACGTGTGTTAATCTTTGATACATGGATACACCTTCACACAAACACGCGGAAGGTGTAAACAAAGAGTGTAGAATCGCGAGAGGTCTGACTATCTTTGCATACACACAATGAAATCAAAAGCAAAGTACTATCACGACATAGGGGGCGCCCTACTAGAATTTGAATAGAGTTCAAAACTCAAACATGGTTTTATTGACACAGAACATGTTCGATACAAACACCTTCTACGTTCTCTTGAAGGATGCCCTCTAGTTTTTGGTAGTACTTTTTGTGATAGGATTCCGTTTCAAGGAAACCTCGGCAGTCGGACCTCTTGCAATTCTAAACTTTTTGGTGAAAATGGTGTGAATCGGACATTGTTTATCAAGCGTCATTGAATCTTGTAATTCACAAGTTTATTTACTGTTGGATATGAAGAAAATAATATATATTCCTCTGTCCATACTATAATATTTTATTTGACAAAAACATGTGACAGGAATAAATATAGTCATATTGACATCACATGATGCATATATATGGGCATACAACAGGTTTTTGTCCAATCAAATTTGATAGTTTGGACAGAGCTTTATAAAAATAAAATAAAATAAATATAAAATGAAGTAAATAATAATGCTTTTTAAATAAATTACCTGTTTAGGTGTTCATCTATGTGTACTAAGCTGGTTGATTTGTAGATTTGTTCAACATCATAGAAGACATCAGGAGCAGAGTGCTTCTGCCTATATGTCTTGGCTCCTTCACCAAACAACATGTAGCTATTACGACGGATATGCTTCTTTAAGTTCTCCGCCATCATGAAACAGTAGAGCCGTCTCAATCCTTCCCATTCGTGGAGAACATAAGATGCCCTAAGCAGACAAGTGTAACTTGTTTATAGAGTTGTTTACATCGTGGGTGATGCCATAATGGTTTGCAAAATGAACTTCAATATATTGATAATAATATTAATAATAGTGATAATTAAATAAGTAAATATATAAACAAATAATATTCATATAGCACAAGAGACAATTAGTTTCAAAGTACTGTGTTTGCACCAAAGATCTTATCAACTGTTAAGGAAGCGTGCTCTGCAATTTCTGTATGCACATTCTGTAATAACCCAGTGTACTAATTTAGTAGGGCGTCCTCCGGAAAAACAAGTACTTTTGGACTTTGCTATGGCGTTGATCTTATGATGGCACTCTTTAATTTTTAGTGTGCAAATACTGTAACAACGCAGTGTGCTCATTTTCTAGGACACCCTCTCTCAAAGACAAGTACTATTTACTATAAATCTATTAACAAGATAATGCACTCCATGACTTTACGCCTAATGTCGTGGAGTGTATTATCTTGTTATTAAAATCTTTGGTGTGTAGTTAGTACTGTAAAATGTACTTGAATGCATTTTATATGTCACATATTATGAATCTGTTATGAGCAGTGTGATTTTGTAGACTGTTATGACAGTGAGATTGTCACAATTTTAAAGGTTGTAATTTCATTAATGGACAAACAAAGCAAGTACATTATTAACAATGGTAACAGGTTAGCATATTGGCAGTCACCTACGACTGTATCATGATACATGGATTATCTAATGGGACCACTTCGAATAATCTTGAGGGAAATATATAAAGCCTTTTTATTATATTTGGTGAAATCATGAGAAAGTCTACTTTTGTTTTTGTTTTTTTACAAAGAATATCAAACAACTGAAATGAACTGATTTCACATACTGTTTAGTCTTCATTGGTTTCTCCACAAATTTACACAAAATTGTTTTGATCATTTGTTGAACCTTGGTCTATTAGATTAATGGTCTCCTAATTGTGTGACCACTGCATTGTTTTGGTTTTGAAATAAAGTTGACTGATTGAATAAAAAGATGATATTTTATAAACCAAATTTTAACTCTTAACTTTAGATTGTAGTTGTTTTTACGAGTTTTAATGTTTACACTTTTTACACGGTCTTGCTGCTTTTGGTGCACTGTATATCCTTTGCAATTTGAATTTTTGTGTTCTTTAATTCAAAAAGCTGTACAACCAGAATTTCTTTGTATGTTTTTGTATATGAGAACTAATAAAATTTCTTGATCTTGTATGGTATGTTTGTTTCTGAGTATACTAGGCGAGGCGAGTCGAGTGGCCGAGCGGTAAGGCAGGGGCGCCGCTAGCTACAGCCTTTAACATCGGCGCTGGTTCCAGCCGCTCCCCGCCCATGGTTACCCCGATGTTATGGTTCATTTCAGCCCCTGTCGTTGTGGAATGATGTGAACATGTATCTACCAAGAAGCGCCTCTTTACGGCTGCTAGGTAGTCACAAACCACGCCCATACGAAATTCAGCACAATGACGCTGCAAGTTATGGGTTATTCTCCTACCTTTACCTTTACCTTTACTGTGAAAAACTTATCAACTTACTTAGTAATGTCATAGCCTTGGCATACTGAAACTACACACTCAAAGTGACGTTGCCTTTCAGGTTTCTCCCCAAGATATTTCACAACCGTGTTTGCTCCCATGCTAAAGCCGACTGCGATCAATTTTGAACTGGGATAGTTTTTCAAAACATATTCAACCATTCCTGCATATTCATCTGTGTCGCCTTCAGGAAAATTAATAATTATTATTATTATACAAGTCATTATTATAATAAGTTAATTCATCTTTTTACCTCCAACATAATTTTGGACAGAAGTTTTTCACTATTACTCGCTACACAGCATTATTGCCTGTCGCTACATGATAACTGCCCATTGTAACATGCTGGATTATTGCCTGTTTATCAATTTGACTTTCTTTAATAACAGACGATAAATCAGCCAGTCAAAACACACACTAACTGAACTGACTTTCCGTTATATCTGATGTTTGTAATCGTCTTCAAATGTGACAGACGAACAATGTCAAAAACATAAATATAGCAGAAATATTATCTAATGGCTTAGTGCAATTTCATTTAACCTTTAGGCACCAAAAATACAGGACAATGCTTGGACGTGGGTGCAGTCACATTCTGGGACAATCTGACAGTTCTATTTTTGTCGTAGGGGTGTTTTGAAAGGAACAATGGCAATTAATTTATCCAAGTATGTATTCATGAAATAGACCACAAAAATTGCCTGAATGCCACTATGAGGGTGGTGTTTTGGACATTTAGTGTGTACATACCATAAGTAAATATTCTCGGTGAGGTGAGTTTCAATGACTTTAGGACGCCAAGATGGTTGAGTACAACCACACGGTAGCCTTGTTGTTGGCCGTACCATGCAAACACTTCTATGTAGGAATTCTCGCTGCAGTTAGCAATACCAGGTGCTATACAGATGGTGTAGTCTTCTGTTAAAATTAAAATGTAGTATATCCTACGTGAATTGGACAATTTACTTGCCTTTTTGTAGTAGTAATTCTTCTGCAGTAGAATGTTACTAGAATGCTTCCATTAGTTTTGTTTAAATTCATTTAGGGGTCGTTTATTCAAGAAAAAATTTAATGCCCCGGGGTGTTTATTCGAGGGAGGCCTTTATTCCAAATAAGGCTCTGCAGGGTGAGTATATTCGAAGGGAGCGTTTATTCAGAGCAGGACGTTTATTCAAATAAATGTGGTATATTATTATCTAATTATTGACTCATCAATTGTAATACTTAATGACTAACCAGTAAGTCAATTTGAAAAAAAAAAAACTTACCTTTGCTTGAATGATTTGCTACTGGATCAAAAATGTCAAATGTGAAAGTGGTCTTATCAGGAAGGACTAAACTTTTCCTGCTTCTATTCCTTGGTGCTGGCTTTTGGAAGCGACCATGTTTTGCATAGACGTATGTCTGAATATGCCCACTCTTTCCCCATAGCAGAGTAGGCTGATATCTGATGGAAAAAAAATATTAATTTATTATTTCCAAATAAAAAATATCAGAATTTAAAATTAAATTTGTATAAGTAAGAAAATTGAATATTCTAAATGGATTTTAGAACTAGAGGACATAATTTTAAAAACTATATACAGCACACTAGAAATTTAAAAATAAAAATCATAATATAAATTATGCAAAAAGGAATTTCATCACAAACCTAAAAAGAATAAATTTACATACAATAATGCGTTAAAATTCATAAAGTATGAAAATTTCAACAAAAATACCCACATTTCATGCAATATCGGACAAGATTTCTTTACTTCACAATTGAATTTTGAATCCTTGCATTTCACCACTGGAGCAGCAGCTCTACTGTTGAGATTTAAGATCTTGATTAAGATGTAGAGAACAATGGCTGTAGCAAGAAGGGGTATAGATTCAATTAAGAAGATCTCAGTCCGTGAAATGTCACCCAAAATGGCGTTGGGATCCATGATTTGTGATTCTAGGCAAAGAATGAGAAAAACATACATGCATCACTCATATAGGATTAATACATTTAAATCATCTTCGCAAAGTTATTGCACCTGAATATTACGTGGGCAGGTATTGCCTACACAGGTCATGGTTTATAATCTGGGATCATTATCCTTAGTTTATGCTGAATGATGCCAAAAACATGTGTGTTTTTAAATCGTTAAATTCCTACGGAATGCATTTCTAGTGAAAAGTGCAACTAATAAAAACATGGTAATGTGAGCATTGACAGGTGGGCGGAGCTTATAATGACGATCACCAACGAAAGTTGACCTTACTTCCTGCGAGCTATAGGGCATTCTGCGAAAGAAGTGGACAACACATCGCGAAAGTATGAAACAATTATGGTAAAGCCTGAAGCATGTCATCCTGTTGGTTAAATTTTTTTCTTCGCCCTGAATTCCCCGCGGAAGAGCGATCAAACCAAGGAAGAGGTCAAGTTGGGTCAACGACGGGTCATGACTAACACGGTATTGTGTTGCAGCTGAAAAGTGTACCACAAAACAACCATATAACGAATGTGTGTTAAAACACATGTTTTTAGAACGCATTCCTAAACCGTGTTTTTGTTTTTTGCTCATTTCTGCTGGGAAGAAAACACATGTTTTTTAATAACCGTTTAAAAACACATGTTTTTTGCTCAGCAGAAACAGGCCTTTAGTAACGTTAATTCCTTGCTAATTTTCCATGTTCTTACTGAAAAAATTAATCTGATTTGAAAGGCTGTAAGATTTAAAGCCGGGCACTCGCTGCAGTACAAACAACAAATCTATCTCCGTTCTCTGTGAGCGATATATTCTGTGCAACGCTGTATGCTAATTGTCTGTTTTCAATTCCATGATAGAGTTCAAAGACTTCTAACATATCTCCTCGTTAGTGCACTTCATGTGGCCTAGGGGCCTATGTATGACTGTTTTGGTGTTTCATATTTAGCATGACAAACCCGGCGGTCGAAATGATCAAACACCTTTTTAATTTCTTTCATTTATTTACCCCTAACTAGGCCCTAGTCTACGTTATGCCTAACCAGTATTAAGTAACACCAGTGCTAAGCCTGTCCGCCCTGCTAAGTAAGCCCTAAACTAAGCCTTATTCATTTTTAGGCTCGGCCTGGCCCTAGCCTAGACTACGTAACCTAGCCTAGGCCTTAGGCTAGGTGGGAAGGAGACCAGACCAGCCCACACACAGGGGCCTTCTTCAGGCCTAGCCGGGCTAGGTAAGGGTCTTTAATTTTTAAATTACCATGGATCCAAACTAGGATTGCACTAAAATCAGCGATTTACCTTTATAGCCGCCTACCTAATCATTACAGTATAACCTCTGATCTTCACCACCGGTGACTGTTACTATTTCTGTACCTTTTTTAGACAGTACAATGTACACACTTACTTCTCCCCCTACCGCCGCCTCTCCATAACATCCGGAATCGTCTATTGTGTAAATAGGGGAAACAAATCTGATTGAAAGTGTGGGCACACAACCAACCAATCAATCATCAGCTGAATATTTAGGTAAAGGTAAATATTACACAACACTTTTGAAATGTTATTGAATTCGTTAAGTTTAATGCTGGAGTGGAGTAAATAAAGCTTCTCCGTAGCAATGCAGCAACGTGTCATCAGGCAGCTCTCCCTGTCGAAGTTGATTCTTATCTCTTTCTTGGTCTAGCTACCTCTTGCATTTCTATCCATCTGATAGTCATATCATTTTCAACAACTACGCCTAACAAAACAATAACAATTATTGAACATTTTAACCCTACCAAAACGAAAAAAAAAACAAAAAAAAAAAAAAACCCAAAGCAATAATCCATTATCACAGTACCAGTATCCGTAGGCCTATTTATTCAAATAAACGCCTTCGATGGCTTTGAATAGAAACGCCCAGAATAAACTCCCCTCAGCTCCAGAGCTTTTGGAATAAACGCCTCCCTCTTCCTAGAATAAATTCCCCTTAAATGACTGTAAACAAAACTACATCAGAGCAACATCAATCTCAACACATTCTATTAATATCATACTCCAGTAGAATTACATTTTGTCTAAACTGGCTGAGATCAATAAGTATTTTTGATCACGCAAAGACGGTATTTGTAGATCTAACAATCAGGAAATCTACTACCAAAACACCTAAGGTAAAAATTCTCATTGGCTACCTATTTTACGTTTTAATAACGTTATAATAACGCTACCGTGTGGTGTAGTTTTCAACTTAAAATTACTGCTCAAGGATGTTAATTTCATTAAAAAAATTTACATTTGAAAATCATATTGTTCACTCACTCATCTGTTTTGCAGTGTTGTTCTTTTTGTAATTAGGGCTTATGATGTATTTTAAACTAATTGTAACCCGAAATTTGAAATTAAATTGAATTGAATTATAGCGATGATGCAACGTTGTATTTAAACCTTTAAAAATATCAGTAAATAAATAAATAATTAAAAATATACAAAACATAGCCTAGGCCTAGGCCTAAAGTTAAATAAGCCTGGTACGAAATTGTGACTGTTGCATAGTGACTCGTTGTGTGTGATTGAAGGCTCTTGTCATGCGTTTTTTAATTTTTTTAAAAATTTATTTATTTATTAATTATTTGTTGATATTTGGGGCAACATAGGACTTGTTTTCTTGGCTTTGCCCCTCTCCTCCTATGATAAAATTAACAAACATTGACGTTCTGACGTCACAATCACACGCTAATAACGTTGTTTGCTGGGATGTTAATAGCCTAATCGGCCTCCAGTGTTGAGTTACAGTAAAATAATCATAATAAATGTAAATAAATCATTAAAAATTAAATAATACTAGACCTAAATAATAATATAAACTGGAATTCTTACTTTGTATATTTTATTAGGCCTGACGTTTGAACCACCGTGACATACTTCCAGTAATCAGACCAAATAAAAAGTTTGTAATGATATATTTTAGCATTGGACAGACTATGAAAGTACTTAACTTTTGCTGTTCAATTATCGTTGGCCACTGTTTTTTTCTTGCAATGTTCTAATTAAAGCTATAATCACATTTCGGCCTATCATAAGGCCAAAAAAATAAATTAAATTAAATAAATTTATGTTGGCCACGTTTTGGAAAATCCAAAAAAAAAAAGAAAAAAATGAGTAGGTCGGTAGGAATTCTTTTTCTTTTTAAACTAATAATGTGTTTATGCCTAAAAAGTAGAAAAAATACAAGACCATGTTTAAAACTATTGAAGAGCAAAACGATCAGCGCATAACACCGTCGCATCGTCTACAGTCCAGCAAGATAGGCCTATTCCAGCCTTTTAAGCTCATTAAAAAAAATGTTATAATTAAAACCCGATAGCAGACCTCTCTAAAAGAGTTAGCGAGACCAGCCCTCTAAAGAGTTTTAATCTAAATTTAGATTTGAAAACAGAAATAACAGGGTATTATAGGCCTAATTGTGATTCTTCTTGCCTATATACGCAGTTCTTGATCAAGCAAATGAGTTTACCCGACAGGCCTCCTAAAACATTTTTTTTTTCCAATCCAACATATATTTTTATTTCAAACGGTCCTTTTTCCATCTTTTTTCACTTGAAAAGCTCAGGATTTCTTGCAAATATGTTTACTGGTACTGTACAACAAAAACATATTTTTTAAATATAAATTTGATTCCATTCTTATGACTTTTTATATACGTGTCTCTAACCATTGATTTACTTGTGATCATAGGTAAAATGGGGGCGGGGTTAGCAAAAACAAAAAAAAAACAAAAAAAAAAACACCTCCCTCCCTCATCAGTTTTTATTCTTTGACAGGGTGATAAACTAATAATTTTTTTTATGGGGCCTTAAAAGAAGTGTGAAGCGAGATCTAAGAGGAAGCAATAGACAGTTCATTCATTCATTCATTCAGAAAAGTGAGAGGAGAACATGGGCCTGAATTGGGGGGGAGGGGGAAGTTCTTGTCTCCAGAATAAATAGGCGGCCATACATTCAGTAGTGAGTGTAAAAATCACACTATGTCAAATAGTAGTTTAACTGCGCATTGAGTGGTATTTGAAGTATTTTATTAACCAGTTCTATAAGCTTCATGATAAATAGGCAATAGTACAAAGTAGGCCAAAATTTGTTTGTGAAGGCCTACCACTTTCATCAATTAATTACAATAATAAAAGAAAAAATATTAGCGTGGTAAAATTTATAATTATTTCAGATATTAAACAAGTTCTAGTGAACGATCAAAAAATGTGAAGGATTATTTTGATCTTGCTAGCAATTACGTCTAGACATTTACTTTGCTGTAGGGTGAAACTTTATGCTCAAGTGAATTCGTTTCTATAGAAACGACCTTCGTGTGTCTGTGTGAACGAATGAGAAAGACACATTCGAGTGTAACGCGATCCGTTTAACACGCTCCACAGCGTGTAAACGAGATATCACTGAACGAACGAATAAGCACTCGGCTACAGATGGCTACAGACTACAACGAGACAACTCAGTTTGAACAGGATTTTAGTTCGTAATAATTTGGATTTTGAAAGTATTTTATGTGAAACTATACAACGTTTGTGGATGAAGTTATTTCTTTACGAATACATTCACGTGTACAGATACGTAAACTTTCATATCATTGTGTTTCAACTTGATATAGCATTTCATTCAGTGATTCAGTGTAAAAGCGATTGATCGTTTGCCTAGCTTTTGATGACCGTGTGTGTTCCAACGCCGTGTGAATGCAATAAACAACGTCAGCCAGGCCCAGGGAACCAGCGCTATCTCACGCTCGAGATAGTTTGAAATACAAATTGTGAACTCTTCTGTATCGAGCATGGCAAGCAATCTTGAGAGTTTAAACATATCACTTGCAATTATGCAATTTTTTACCCAATGGCAGATGCAACAGAGGCAAATTGATGCCAGACTTTCTCAACTGAGACGAAGAAGGAGATCAGTTGCTTGCCAATTGAAGGCACTAATGGAAAAAATGTACCCACCACCCAGTTATCTTGAGGAGGAAGAAACCATGCCACCAGTACCAGTCATTTCAGACGAACCAAAGCCAAAGAAAAAAAGGCCAAAAAAGAAGAAAGAAGATGCAAGTGGCAAAAAGCCTAGAGTTTGGACATTAACAACTGATAACCTCTGGTTTGAGAATACTGTCCAACAGTTTTCAGATTTAGAATTCTTGGAGCAATTTCATGTTAGTCGGAAAACTTACCACCTCCTCTGCGAACATCTACGAGTTGATCTCACCAAAGCAAACACAAATATGCGTAAAGCAATTAGTGTGGAAAAGCGTGTTGCTGTGAGTTTATATATGCTGAGTAAACCGAAAGTCTGCACGTACAGACACATAGGCACGTTATTCTCCATGGGCAAAAGTACCATCGGTGGAGCTTTGTACGACTTCAGTAAAGCAGTGTGCAAAAATCTTTTACCACAATACATCAACTTTCCCTCAGATGAAGCTTTGGTTGAAACGAAAGAAGGTTTTAATGCCCTTATGGGGTTTCCGGACTGCATCGGTGTCCTCAACTTCGCTCACATCCCCCTGTTTACGCCATTAGGCTCAAACCTACCAACCGAGTTCTTGAACGACAAGGGTTGGTATTCAATGATCTTAATGTGTGTTACTGATCATCGAAATCAATTTACTTATGTCAAAAGTGGTTTCCCTGGAAAACTAGATAACTTGAGTGTATTTAAAGAAAGCAGCTTACATCAGCTTTCAACAGAAGGCAAACTTATTCCTCCAGATCATGGCTATCACCTTGTGGCGGGCAATGACATTCCCTTACAAAACTGGATTATGACACCATTTGTTGATGACGGGAACTTGAATCACAATCAGAAACAATTTAATGAAAGAATTAATTCTCTGCAAAACTTCTCAGAGGTAACCATTGATAAACTTAAGGGCAGGTGGGGGTTCCTGCTGAACAAGTGCAACAAGAAACTGGATCGAGTGTCAAATATTTTCCTAACTTGTTGTGTTTTGCATAATTTATGTGAGCGACACGGGGATGGCTTTCTGGACAGTTGGCAAAATGAAGTAAGGATCGCTAACCAATCTGGACCGCATCAACCGGTTGGGATGTATTGTGAAGACGAGTGTTCTAGTGAGGGAATCAGGAAACGAGATGAGATAGCGAACAACATGGAGGCCCCAGAGGTGCTTGATCAGCGCTCATGATCTATGTACATTTACTGGTCAAAGGTCTGAATCTTAATTCGCATACCATAATCTAGGACATTAATTTTAATATCTGTTAAGCACCAAATAAAAGATATTCAGGTCAAGATGAAGATTTGCATGTACCCTCTACTACAACAAATAAGGCATAAAAAATTGTGTTGCCCAATTATGTTAACCTGGATTTCAGCTCCGTAGTTACCATTTTATCAATCAAAATGCATAGTAATGCTTGGCACTGGACGCTAGAAAAATTGCAAAATGACCGACACCGACCCATTGACCCAGATTTCCATATACAGTACAGTATGTACTGTACAGTACTTGGAATAAAAAACCATGTTACAAAAAGAATCAATTATAGTGTAATTTAGGTAATTATTAGTAATAATTATATAACAACTTAATATTTATACTGTAGGTCTAATGTAGCATCTAGAATCAATTATACAGTATTAGATAATAATAATTAGTATGATTTTCATATATTTACTTGGGCAACACATTTTTTTGCCATAATTACCATAATTATAGGAACATGTAATAAATAATAATATTAATAACAGTTAATATTAAATATAAATTTTATAGGTTTACTGTATCATCTAGAATCAATTATACAGTATTAGATAATAATAATTATTAATAATAATGATCTTCATACTGTATGTACTTGGGCAACACAATTTTTTTGCCTAATATTATGGCAGCAGAATTACCATAATTAATAGAAACAAAAAATAAACATGTTAAAAAAAGTATCAAATAAACAGTATTACAGGTAGGTAATTACAATTAATAATAATAATAATAATAACGTTAATAACTGTTGATATTTATAGGTCTACTGTAGCATTTAGAATCAACTATACAATATTAGATAATAATTAATAAAAACAATTAATGATCATTAGTATTTATATAGGTCTAGCCCAGGGGTTTTCAACTGGCAGTCTGCAGGTAATTTCCATGAACACATGCTATCCGGCCCGCAAGAACCGCAGCTGAAAATAAGATCATATTATAAATATAACATTAATAAAGCCACTATTATTGCATCATTTCACTTTATTACCAAAATTGTTTTCATGTGGGAGTGGCCATATTCCCCTGTCAATCGTAGGTCACACTGCAGTGGTATATTTACTTGGGGGGTGTGGGGATGCAAGCCAGCATGGGCCATCCTAAATTTTTCAAAATTATTTTTAAAGAGAGAAGAGATAAAAACGAAATTCAAATTTAAGTGTCATTTCTAGCCATCTAGAGGTGCCATTATCATAATTTTTTATACCTTAGCCACCAACCATGGTGGGGCTGAAGTGGTCTAGACCCTCCATTCTGACCCCCCCCCCCCATTTTGAACCCCCCCATTTTGAATTCCTGGATTCACCACAACATTTCAATTATTTAGTACATACTTAGCCCCTATTACAGTATAATATTGAGAATCACTGGTCTAGCATTTTAAATTCTAAAAGTGCTTCACATTTTAATTTATCATATTCCATTTCATTTCATTTTTGCAAGTTAAATCATCTTATTATGTTGTCAGAGAATTATTTGTTATTCATGTGAATGTGTTTGATAGCTAGTTCATGTTATCTTGGCCATAAATTATCCACCTTTATGAATGTCATTAAAATGCAATGTAGTGAATGCATAATTTTTTTTTTAGAAGTTCAAGTAATCAGAATAATGGGATATTATTATTGTATTGCATTAATGAACAGATCATTAGCCTCATTTTAGATTTCAGATACAGTATAAGTAGTTATAAGTACTGTATTATTTCGAATAAACGCACAGGGGCATTTATTATTGAGAAAGGTTTTGAGGGGGTGGTTATTCGAGGGAGACATTTATTTAAAAAAAAGTAAAATGGATGCAAATATATTCAAATAAACATCACTTAATTTCACTGTAAATGTGGCTACAACACATAATTACCGTCAAATTTGTTATTGCATGATCATAAGAAATATTGATCCCAGCCATGATAGAAATATGTAATTTTACTGAGTAAAATAATAATGGAATGTGTTAAGAATGATGTTTCTCACATTGGCTTTGTTTAAGTCATTTAGGGAGGCGTTTATTCAAGGAAAAAATGAATGCCCTTGGGTGTTTATTTGAGGGAGGCATTTATTCCAAATGAGGCCTTGGAGGGGCCTTCATTCAAATAAATACAGTAATAGACGTTTAAAATACTTTATAAACAAAGAAAGTAAACAACTTTGTATACAGTGTTATATTTAAGAATATTGCCCTTTGTATATACTGCCAGTGAAATCTAATATAAACTTGAAAACAACATTAAATTGCCTAATACTGTATTTATATTTCAATAAGTTATTAGCTTTCAAAGATATTATATTTAGGTATTAATTTTTATAAAGTGTTTGCACATTTAAGATTTTCTAAGTAAGGTCACTATGCTGATGCAATGCTCTCCCAATGAAAACATTAATTCTAGTTTTCGAGGTGCATAATAAAGAGGTGTATTGAAGAAGGGGTGTAGCTGCAATTAGTCCTAGAATTTAATACAATTGTTTTGTTATTAGGATGGTTAGGAGCTTTTTATTCCAGCAAATAATGCCACCAAATCCGGCTTCGCCAGAAAACTGCAATGACCATCATATAACTTGCCATTCTAAATAATATTACCATTAATAGTATGCCTTATTTCCCAAAAACTAAGAGGTTGAATGCAGAAAAAAATATAATTTAAATAACTCAAGGTGGTAGCATGGGAAGGAACAAAAGAAGTTGAGAAACTAATTTATGTTTTGACTTGGCCTAAATCTCTGTCCAAACTATTAAGTTTAATGTGACAAATGTATGTGATATCATGTGATGTCATCACACCCATATATGGGCAAATCACAGCGACATAAAATTTTATTGTAGACTTAGCAGTTAAGTTATAGTTGTACTGTAATGCATACTTGTGTTATATATAAATATAAAAGGTGCTCTAGAAACATTATGCAAATACTGCAATGCATGGTAAATGGTATGCCAATTTTGAAAATAAGCTAACACTGTACTGTACATAAAAAATATGATGGCAGAACCATTTTAGGAACATTTTTTAATATCAAAACAATATTTTTTTTTCATTAACTTATTTGATTGTGGCATTCATGCTGTAGTATAAAAATTCTTGGTTTTTTTCAATAAACAAACTTTAATATGCAACTTACAAAAGAGTCAACAATCTTTGTTTACAAACCTTTGTATTTATTCCATTTAAGGAAGTAAAGATTACTGTACATGTCCATATCAAGAAAATTATGTTGGTATTTTGTCATTAATTTTAAGACTAAAACACCTTACAGTAACGAGTTGACAATAGGCAGTTTTCGCCACACGACGTTAACCTTAATGTTAGTACCCAACATGCACTGCAATAGCTCCGCCCCTTTTGTAAACAAATCAAAATATGCATGAGCAAACCCGTAATTAAGGTACGTCGATCACGTAAAATCCTGAAATTAACATACTCCGCAACGCAAGATGAATATATTATGACATTAAGGTTAACGTCATGCGGCAAAAAATACCTGATCACAAGTACAGAATACAGTACGGTACCAATGGTTCTTAATTTTTAAATTGTGAATTTTATCAAAACCAGTGTACTATATACAGTAATAAAGGGGCTAGGCTGGGCACACACCGCACCTGTGTTTCTAGGGGTGCGAAGGTAGGGGAGTGCAGGGTGCACAGGGGAGGATGCTTTTTCCTATTGAAAATTTTGGCCAAAAAATCACTCGCATAGTTAAACATCACCTTATTTTGCGATCTAGCATCCACCACCCCACCCCCCTCCCCCACTTAATAATCAAGCCCCTCCCCCAATTTCAAGACTCTAAGATAAATCACTGGGGATAAAATTGCATGGAAAAAACAACATAATGGGGCATACCCAGCGGGAAATTTTTTTCATAATAAAAAATAACATTTTATTGGTGAATATAAACAGGGTCGTAAATGCTTTAAATTTGTATACTGTAATTGGGAAAAAATATACATACAGTATCTTATTTTTGGAGATTTCAAAGTAGCTGTGGGTGCAATAAAAATAAAGAAAAACTTTTTTCGTGGCCAAAGGTATGTTAAAAAAATTTGTTTTATTTGAAATCATCATTATAGGGGGCCGGCGGATCCAAAAATGTCCAAAAAAGGGGGGCTGGAAGTTGGGCCGATTGAGACAACACTGTCGTAGGGGGTCCGGGGCATTCCCCCACAAAATTTTTGTGTTCTAGACGCCCGAACATAACATTTGAGGCATTCTGGGCTATCATTTTTTTCTTTTTTTTTAACCTCCCAAAAGGGGGAGGCCCCCCTAAATTCGCCCCTGGGCGGGTTCGCTAAACAAAGTATAAAAAATGTCACTACTACGAAAAGGAAATAGCAACATACCGACAAGCTCAACCACATGATGATTACTGTAATTCCTCAGGTATATGCCAACCCCTATTTTATGCCCAATTTTATATGGCAGTCTTTCCTCGAGCAAAAGCTGGCTCTTGAAAATATTTTCAGAAAAAATTTCAAATTTTGACTTTGAATTTGGTACATAGAGTGTTGAGAAATTATTTGATTTGATTAAAAAAAAGGATACCCAGGGTATAAGCCCACCCCGAAAAACTGGCCCACTTTTGTGTTCAAGGGGGAGGGGGTGGGCTTGGCTTATACCAGGAACTATGGCATATGTTTGTTATTTGGTGAGGAAAGGGAACTTCAGGAATATGGGGGTTCTTTCAAACCCCCAAACCCTTTGGCTTGAGATGATAGCTGATTCTGGATTGAGGATGGATACCTGCATTCAAATGAAGAAAATTCAAACCAAGTTTAACAATGAAAATAAACTACACAAGTATATAAAGCACTACAGTATACCTAGTACTAATTGCAGTAGTGTAGTGTTTTAATTAATAATACATTACAGTACTGCAAATTCACTTTAAACTTTGTTACAATACAAGGCAAAAATAAATATCACACAATAAGAAATTAACTGTACTGTATTACCTAAACATAAATGAGTGTACTACCGTAAATCAGGGGCAGGCATAAAATAGGTTGGAGGGCCAAAGTGAATTTCTGATTTAACAAGGAGGGCTGGAATTCTGGATCCACCCCTGCTATGTGGCCTGAAGGTTGTATTTTTACTCTTTCAAGTCCAAGCTAAAGACCTTCTTTTTTCATCAAGTTTTTCAATAATTTTACATGACATCCTTTTCTGTTTTTTATGTACAGTGCACTGAGAGTTTACTTACTTGCGCTATAATAATAAGGAACTATAATTATTATTATTATTCTCACCCGTCCCGTAAATTATTAAATAAGTCTGTCTCTCAAATAAGCACTGCTCCTCAATAAGCACCAATTGAAAAATCTATTTTCGCAAAGCTCCACCCTATTATATACAACTGTATTAAATTTTGAATAAGCATTGCAGTATTCAAGAGTACATATTACCCAACATGGTTTGATGTTTCGTATTATAATGCTACTAATTAACTGCTTTCTAAAGGAATAAATAATAAAATATAACAAGTCAGATAGGTATATACAGCACATGATATTCTTTAACAATTAAATAATAAGTACAGCAGTGCTTATTTGGTCATTTACAATAATACACCACACACTTCACATAAAATTATTAAGGAAAAACAATTAAGTGGATGTATGTAAGCTATACAATTTTTTCTTTTTCAAATCTAAAAAGTATTTGCAACAAATTTTTCGTTCATTTCATAATCATTATAGAATTTCATATCAAAATGGTGTAATTAAAATATATTCAATCTTTAGTTTTAGGGTACTTTGGTTTTTTGAATACATACAAATTACCTTTTTAATGAATTCAGCAGATTTAAATTGAATCATGAATATTTGAAATCATCAATATTGTACATAATAATGTTAACAATGAAGTGGTTATATTTACACCAGTTTTAAAATTCTGTGATTGGATGTTATTGAATGTATGGGTTGGATTAAAACAATGGGCTTATTCGACTGGTTCATTTCATTGACTACGATTTTTCGTCGAGTATTTTTTTTATTTTGACTGGTTCGTAAAATAGACGTCGCTGACAATGATAATTAACGTAAACCAGAGTGTGTTATGTTATCCATGTGTCCAAAACAAACAAGGCCAGTTTAGCAACATCTGCGTTAATATAATTTACATTAAATTTAAGAAAATAAAAATTATACCCACATGAAATCAAAAAAAGAATTCAAAAACTGAATGACATCATTTTTTACGCAAAACCCATTCTGCCACAATCCGAAGCAGCCTTGATTACGCAGCGTGTATCGCGGTAACTATGCAGCCATTTTGTTTTGTCGAGCATTTAGCAGATTTCTATTAGACTGGTCGTCTTCGTTAAGTAGGATTTTACCACTGCACAGGTGGCTGTGGTTTAGCGAAGAATGACCAGTTGAATACGGCCATCGACATTCATCAAAATTTGTTTAAGACTGGTGTAACTGTAGACACTCCCAGAAAAAAATAAGGTTATAACAAAAAATAATAATAATGATAATGATGATGATAATAATAATAATAATAATACTAATGATAACAGTAATAATAATACTTTTTATTACTATGTTAAAATTTGGTAGTACAGCTAAATAAAATCAACTTAAATACAGTATTCTACTTTAGAATGGAAATACCAAATTCAAAATGATATAAAAGTACATACAGTATTTTTTATTGACTATTAATTATAATTCCCTACAAACAGCAAATTAAAGTTATCCCTTGGAGCTCAGGGTTTATAAACCATATTGATACTCTGAATCTTTAGACAATTCTGCAAAATATGTTTTAGAGCAATACAATCTAGAGGGCGACAAACATATTCAAGTGCACTAAGTGTATAATAGGGAGCTCTTGATGACAAGATGGTGGCGGGATCTAGGACAATACTTATTTTTTTTATAAATTAATTAAATAATGGCACGACACAGAGTCATCTGCTTTCAACTCTTGTCCTCTGAAGTTTAAGACACTGTTATGCTGAATTTACCTTGTGCAGAGATCCATTCTAGAATCATAATCGTGGAGATCAAAATCTTCATACATGGGTTCTATTGCTATTAGCTGAATGAAAGGAAGATGATAATAATATTCTAATAACTATTACATCAACCAAAGAAACTGAAAAAAAAAAACCAAATTCCATTGCATAATACCCTGCAATGTTAGACCACCTACAAGCAGTGTCTTGTTTGTTTATAGTTCCCTTGGATTTTAGATTGACAACCTTGACTTGGAAAACTTAGTCATTTAGAGTGGATGAATCACTTATTCACCTTAAAGCCATGCTCTGGAGGAAAAATATTTGTTGATATGTTGTACAACAAAAGGGCGTTTGACGAAAAATTAATGAATGGCTAATGAGATACAGATTTTTGAATATTTAAAAACTGGGGGAAAAGGTGGAAAAAAGGGTGGTTATGCTCCTTTCCCCCAGTTTTTAAATATTTAAGAAGTTGTAACTCATCAATCGTTTCCGAGTTTTCGTCAAAAGCCTTTTTTGTGTCTTAAAAAAATCAGTCGTCAACATATCAAGAAATTTTGTTCCTACGGAGCCTGGCTTTAAATTACGTGAATAAGCATGGATGATACATGATGCAATATAAAACAGTTCTTTATTGTAAGAAATATGAATTAAATATAAAAGGTTAAACTCAATGAGTATTGACAAGATTAAACGTTCAGAAGTAGAGTACATTTTTTTCCTAATGGAAGCTAGTTTTTTGTTACAAAATTTACAAAGTCTTTTAAAACATATTTGGTGTTGATTGCTGTTGGCACATCTGCGCCACAACCTGTGACATCATGGAGATCATGCCCTGAAAAAACTGATGTTCATTCTCAGCCCGCCGCCTCTCAATCTCAAGTCGCTGGCGGTCAACCTCTACGGCTTGAAGTTGAGATTTTACAATGTTCTGGAGTGACTCTTTGATTATTTCAATGTTGGTGCTTTCGTCTTCTTTTCTAACCTTGGCCGCTGACCCTCTGGTAGTTGTCGGTCGGTTTGGAGTTCTTGAATTTATTGATGAACTGTTCGTCGGAGTGTTTGTATCAATATCTAACAACTGAGCATCTTCATGTGTTTTGGCGTTACCAGATGACCAATTATTATTCTGAAAATTATTTTTGGGTGTTGTTCTGAAAAAAAAAACACCAAAACAAAACAAAACAGCAGAATTAAAATATGAATTGAATATAATGTAACATCATAACACATAATCAGCACATTATAATTTCATTACTGTATTTCCTTGCCATAATAATAAATAGTATTTCCAATAGTAAATATGCAACGGCAGTCGTAGCATCAACAACAGCAATAATAAAAACTAGACTTCATATGTCTGTTTGTAAAACAGAACATAAGGCTTTTAAACATCTTCATAAAAAGATTAGTGAGAGTCGTCAGTGAGACTCTAACTACTGCATAGCTGCAGTGGTAATAGCAAGGGTGTTGAGATTTCTTGCCATTATGCTAAAAAACCCTCACACTGCAGATGTCAGGTCAGTGCATTTTCAGTTTATAGATGTTATAAATTGAGAGCGAAAATTATTCATGCACTTTACTGTAATTTTGTATGTAACATAGATGTAGCTAGCTTGAAATGCTTCAGAAAATGCGAACTGCATTAACATAAATGTTTAATTACCAGTTTATTAATAATACAGTTATTAAAAATATGCAGAATGTTGTCATATTTTGACATGCACATCTTTGATATATGGTCTTTACTTGCACACAGTTTAACAAAGATCTAAGCACAGGAAGTTACCAAAATGCCGGTCAGAAAAACCTTGTGCACACAGGATAGAAGAAGAAAAAAAAGTTAGAACAAAAAAATTACTTTTTTTGCTAAATCATAATCATTGTCAGATCATCACCATCAGCACCACAATAAATACAAAATATAATAATTTTACAATAACAGGGTTGTAGCTGTAGAAAAATAAGGGTGGGTGATAGATATTTTAAGAGTGGGTGGGTGATAACATTATTAAACTCTAAATAATAAGAGTGGATTTTAAGGATGGGAAAAGTGAGTTAATAAGGGTGGGTGGAGGGCTATGAGTATAAAATTAGCTTTAGACAGGGAAGAAAACTGCAAGGCTGGGTGGGCTTGCACACCATAACTACATCCATACAATAATAAAAATAATAGTAACATTAAAATAATAACAAAAGGCAATTGATTAACAATGAATATTAATGTAATAACATATCATTATTAACAATCAACGACAACAGAGACACTAACCCTTCTTGTTTTCTTTTCCTACTTTTTCTTGGTGTGATACTCATCCTGCCCATGAATGATTGTGCCCACTTTTCCGTTAAATCAATACTTCCCCCATTTTCCCTCATGACTGACGGATCATGCTGCTCCACCATTCCACGAGCAGCTCCCAGCACAATCCTTCTGTTAATAGCAACGCCGTTAGTCTGTAGCCTTCGTATGTAGTCCTGAATTCGCTGATCTAGCTCGCTACCAAGAAGAGGAGGTCTTCCTCGGTTACCAACAGGCAAATTAGTCACCTTATCTCCATCTTCACAGGCCGCTAGTTGCCTCTGGTAGGCTTCCCTAAAAGTTCTGACCGTACTTTCATTTAATTTCTTTCCAAGTTCAAAACTAAATTTTTTGCAAGCACTTGTTATCCCATGCTCTGAGGCATGTTTTCCAATACGTGCTCGAATTTCGGGGTCATAAATCACATATGGGCCACGCTTTTTCTTCTCTTTGGCTTGGATAATGATCTCTGAAACAGCAGCATTTGCTGCTCGCATTTCTGCAGCACGTTCTTCTGTATCTTCACTTTCAGGGTCTGGTAGCTCCGAATCATCAAGACTTCCCTTCCCATTCTCAAGTAAGTTCGAAAGCGACATTATCTAAATCTCTGTTTAAGATCTTTCTTCGATTATAAATTGCACCACAAGAACCCTAGTTAGTAGGGAGCAAGATTGAAGAAAACATATTATAATATTAAACTCCATCAGCAAGAACATCTCAAAAGTTTGTGTCAGTGCAAAATATAGCCTACCGCAAAATGTCATTCTTTTCGAAATATTTATTAAACATTATTAATTGGAGCCAAACCAAAGCCTAAAATAATAGGCCTAGGCCTAGCCTAGCTTAAACAGGAGAATCCGACAGTTAAGTCTAGCCTAGGCCTAGTGACTGACAAGTGACAGTTTGTACACGGGGCGCTCGCCTAGCCCAGGCCTCTCTCAAAACTCATGTACTTACCTCACTTAAACGCTCGTGTATTAGTCATCGGTTATAATATATTCATTACAAGGTGCATTAAATATTCAAAATGAGTTATGACATTAACAAAGACTGATACAGTATAAAATAAAAACAACTTTTTCAGCAGCAATTAAGGCTGGCACATTCAGAATAAACAGTAACACAGGCTGTCTGTCCATGGTCTGAAGTATGAAATTTGAGATGAGCGCCCTCTGATGAATGAGACTCATCGGACGAACTACTGTATCACCTCAGTAGATTAGACTCCACTTTGGGGACACCCCAAAAAAGGAAATATATCTTCTAACACTACGGCAAATCCCTATTAAGAGGACATCCCCATTAAGGTCTATTAATTGTTATTTTTAAGTATAGTGGCGACAGTGGCGTGTAGGAGTCTATAGGGAGGGGATACAGGGGGAGCGAAAGTGAGGGTGAGGATCCATGAGTAAATGAAGATATACCTCGATCTTCCTGTACTAAAATTACAATTCTCCATGACTGTGTAAGAACATAAGAAAAATAATAATCTTTTATATATGAACATGTAGGCATATACAGTAAGTTGTGCTCTGTTTATCATCAGTGCTCGCCCTTGGTTTATGTGAAGAAGATGAAAATTACGTTAAAAATTTATAAAGTGACGCGTGTCGTTTGTTGTAAACCGAAAGCGTGTATTTTATGTCGGCGTTTAACCATGGGTAAATTTAGAGATGTAGGCCCACAAAATCATAACAATTAAATTTAAAATTAACTTGCTACATTTTAATTATATGAACTTGGGCATTAAATTTAGTTTCATATTTACCCTTTTCACGCTGGATCAATGCTAAACATTGTAAAAAAACTGGCAGTCACAGGAGGTTTTTCTGTGATTTTTAGCATTTACCGGTGCGAAATCATTAGTAAACATTTTCAAACTGCACTAATTTCTTTGCTAAAGTTGAACTTTTATGTTACTCATTTTGAAGGAACATTTAGGCTTAAAGTCCTATTGGCCAAATGGTCTGAGTGAAATCGCGTTCTTCGAAATAAGCTCGACGGAATGTCCATTCGGCCAAACATCCTTCAGACGAAATCCTTCAGCCAACGGCGTCCTTTAGGCGAACAATTCTTTAGGCGAAATGTCCGTTCGGCCAATTTTCCGTCGGCCAAACTTTCAGCCAACTGCAAGGCATATTCGGCCAATCGTCTGGGTACCGATTTTTAATGGAGTAGGTCTACGCCTCCGCGCACCCACGTCACTGAGTGGCGAACACCATACGGCCATTATGGAAGAGCCGGGTCTCTAGTTCTACTACAATTGAGATGACATTATTACGACGGGCCAGTAAAAAGGCACCCTTATGCTTTTGCTTCAGTGATTCATCAACTAATTTTTTGAAAATGCGTTTGTGTACAGTGGATACAGCAATTTGTGTTTATTTACTTTTCCTCGTGCTTTTGATCGGCATGTTCTTTGTTGTTCTATGGATTTGAAATTCTGAAATAAATGATGAATGAATGAAAGAAAACTAATAGTTTTTAGTTCCCAAATGTCTTATGCCATCGACAAAACTGAAAAATTAAATTGGTTTTGCCTGTTGCTGGAAATACATAATAGCCTATATAGGCCTAAATGATATACAAGTTATTTAAAAAACAAAGATATAGAAAAAAGATTCAATTTGTAGGAACAAATGATGCAAACGTATCAACGAACTTCCTTAAAGATATATTGTCTCATGTAAAATATGAAAAAAAAAATCATAAATTTATTTTTGAAATTGCTCATTTTGGGATAATATTAAATTTATCAACTTTTGTGTAGCCTATTTGTGTAATCTAAAAAAGTTTAGGCATACCCATAAAAATGATATAAACACTTTTCAAAAACTCCAGGAATTTGCCGACAGGGGTCCGACATGGGTTCCGAACAACCAGTGGGATTAGAACCTCGATCAGGGTCCCGGAATAAAAATCCCTGGTTGAGTTAATAGGGAGAGAGTTGTATAGCCCAAAATTGTCACTGCTTTTAGACCACAATAGTGTTTGGCAATAAAAGTTACGTTATTTGGTTAGGCAAACTAATATTTTTGGTCAGACGATCTGTTGTGCTGTCGGACGACGGGGATTCCAGGCGGAGGAGAGAGGGGATTGCCATCCCTGATACGCCACCACCCATCTTTATAATATATTCATTACAGCGGAGGAGAGAGGGGATTGCCATCCCTGATACGCCACCACCCCCCCCCCCGCTGGCACCGCAAATCCACTGCCCCTAATCAGGGAACACTCAAATTATTTTTGGTTCCGAAGGTATCCCATAATACTATATAGGCCTATAGGGGTTTATATTGTATTTTCTTTGGGACTATAACAAAAGACGACTGCCATAATAAGACAGCGAAACCAGTAGGCCCTATTAAGGAAAAACCACGCATTAAGCTCTGAGTGTTTTTAGTGCATACTATGAGCAAAGAATTCATAAGAGGATTTTTTTTCTTTGTTTTGGTCTTGACAGGAGATGGGGCTTTGGCCTGTCCAACAACGGAGAATCCACCATCTCTACAACTGTCTTGCTGGCGCAACTGATCAAAAGAAAAATACGATGCTGTGTAGGCTAAATACACATCCTATTTCAAACTAAACAGAGGTTTTTGTATTTTTGTTTATAAATGAACTAGAAATACTGTATCTACATTGAATATTGATGAATTGCTGCTGAAGAGCTGTTCATGTGCTTCCGAAAAGTAGGCTTCTTTGTAAAATACACTACTATGCTCCAAAGTATTCATTATTTCCAGAACTTTATTCATTACCTGTCCAGTATATAATTATAATACACGGTAATGAATTAATAAAAAAAAATTAAACAAATCAACCTCCACAGGGACTTAAATAGCGATGCCATAACTAGACCACGAATATTACTGTATTATTACAGTATAAATACCCAACATGCTAGTTCAAAGGTCAACGAAACCTGGCGTGTAAAGAATGTCTGATGCTCTTTCAAAAGAGCTATTTAATATTTGAGGATACAGTATTAATTTGTAATATTTTATGTCAGTTTTTATTTAACAAAACATTACTAAACAATACTCCTGGTTTTTCTATATTAAAACTAAGTAAAATCTAACTTCTTAAAACATAATGAACACAGATAAAACATACGAATATAATACAATGAATTATAATACTAAAATAAAGTACATAACAAATTAAAAATAAATAATAAAAATGGAGATTGTTATTTCAACAATTCATACAAAACCTTCAGAAAATTGTCTTTAATAATGGAAAACCTCTTAGTTTAAAATAGCAACCAAACATGAATCCAAACGTCTTGAGTTTGAAGCTAAACATTTTCACAATATCTATGTCAAATGAAATTTAAAGCAAGGATTTTTGTGGGGTCCAACAGGTAGTTATAAGGTGCACTATTATAATGCCCATTGTTTATAAGGTTCGCTAGTAAGGAGCACTATGATTATGTATGGGGAACTATTAATGCCCACTGTTTATAGGATTCGCTAGTAAGGAGCTCGATGATTATGTATGGGGTACTGCGAGGATGGGTTGAATATTTCAACCCATCCTCGCGTCTTCTTCACACATGCTGAAGTAGACCCGAGGACGGGTTTGAAATATTCATGTTTGAATAAAATCTGTAATCTAAGTCTACCAAGTCGTTGACATCGTCTTTTTCATTGAGTTATGTATCTAAGGAACACACATGGATTACATCATGCGCTCTCTCTCTCTCTATATATATAGTTTTATATATATATTGTACTGTATATATGTATATATATACAGCATATATATATATATATATATATATATAATATTGCAATATATATTGCGAGCTGCAGTAGTACCCCATATATATTCATCGAGCACATATATATACATATATATATATATCCTCCCCAGAGACCAAGCTATATACATTTTAAAACACAAGAATTGGTCAATAAAAAAAAAAACAGGACAATTCAATAAATAAATAACCACATATTAAACTTTTAAAACTTAAAAATTCCCAGTAAAAGTTACAGCAGTTCTCATTCTTTTTGACCGACGACCCAAAAAAAAACAAAAAAACATCCAGGCAACTTGCTACAAACCACTTCCCAAGACGTTAAAAAAACTCAAAATGGGTCATTAACTGCTAAAAAAAATTGGAAGTAAAATGTTTATATGATTCCATTAATTCGCTTAATACCACAGCAAATTTTAGCAGGATATAAAATGCAATTTTAAATACAATCCTTGAGACTTGTGAGTTTGGGTCGTGCCCCGTAGTTTGAGACCTGCTGCCCTATTCTCTTGGTTTGTCCAATTATGGACATAGCATTTTCAAAGTATTTGCATAAATTTTGTAGAGTGCAATATATTAAAAATAATAATTTATATAGCACCTTATATAAAAAGCCTCTAATCACTAATGAAAGCAAAATGTAGAAAAGCAAATATCAACATAAATTGTCTGGTAAATTATTATGTTCAAGCTCATAAAACAGGAATAATTTTTAATTATGGATTAGATTGAATTTATTCGGTGTAAACACCAAGGATAACCCAGAAGACTAACTTTTAGTGGGGTTCTTCTGGTGGTGATTGGGCAGTACACCAGGTGACAATCTCCTACTCTTTTCCGAAGAGTGTACTGTGTTCTTTAATATGGACATGAGCTCACGGGACCAACGGTTAAAATGTCTCATTTAAAAAGAAGGTGCACATGTTTACACAGTACTTGTATTTCAGCCTGTTAGCTGAAACAGAAGGAAAGAAGCAAATGTAATTAAACCGGGCAACAAAGGATCTCCTAGGTTCAGTGATTAAAACCAGTTTAGCCGACTGAGCTATGCTCCTCTCTCTATATGAAACAAATGAATGGTATTCAGGAGGCTGGAGTTTGTATACCGATTGAAACAATGTCTCAAGAACTTACTCAACTTATTTTCATCCATTTTTGTAAGCTAAAATAATTTTGTATCTCAAAAAAAGCACAGAAATGCTGTATGACATCATAGAAATGCGTTATATCCCTCTCCAGTTAGAGTTGTATGAGATGTTATTAAAAATTAAAAAACTAAAAATAATAATTAAAAAATTTTTTTTATATACCTTATATTAAATAAAAACAATTATTGTACACCATTGATGAGAGCTACAGGCTCGGCACACTCCATCAATCATAACTGGCATTTATCTTGAATACAGTATTTTATATTTTATTACTTTATTATTAAATTATTATTATTATTGTTGTTGTTTTACCAAAAAAAACCACTGTGTTGTCTTGGCCTGACCGACTCAAAATCAAAGCCATATTTTCTACCAAAAAACCCCAAAAATACTCTATTTATGAAGATTCCCTAGCAGTGAACCATGAAGCAGGCCTACAGTAGGTCTACAGAAAAAAATGAAAATTGGTTGAATTTGATTTTTAAGTCAGGGTGCTAGAACAATGAATCATATAGTTATCGTACTGGTAATCAACTCAGATTTTTCTATAGGTATTTTTTGATATTTTTCTATCTGTGTCCATATATTCTCGCGTATAAGACAAGGCGATTACAAATTACGATTGAAAACAGAGGGATCGTCTTACTTGCGCAACACATACAATTTTTTGGACTTTTAAACCATGTTCGTCTTATGTGTGGATCATCCATAACACGCAAATTTACTACAGAAACGAAGCCCATAACTGTTAGTATGAATGAATTCAAATGTGGGTAAATAACATGTAAAAGCCCATAAATTGGTATTATTTCAAAAATTAGCCCTATATTTGGTTTCGTTTTGAGCCAGCTAGATGCCGTTTATCAAGACCATAAAGAGCAAATAGTAGGAATTCTGACTGTGAAAGAGAGTCATCTTATACGTCTGACATACAAGAAATTGTCCAAAAACTCGGTTGTTGTCTTATACGTGGATTGCCTTATAAGCAAGAATATACGGTACATGTGCATGCTTTAAGTAAATGATCAATTCTATAAATTTCATCATCATAACATGCCAACTGAGTTCTGATGGGTCATTTGACCAACAATCTGTGACATCATCGTCAGCATTCCATGAAAAAACTGACGTTCAGAATCGATTCGTTGTTTTTCCAATGCAACGCTCTGCCTCTCCAAATCCACCATTGTCTCAAAGAGCTGAGTTAGTTTTTCTTTTTGGGCATCTGTTTCATCAAAATCTATCAATTTTCTTTTCCTTGGGTTGCAAGATTTCCTCTTGTTTCCTTCTTGTACGTCAGAGGGTTTTTGGATCTCTGGTGAGTTGACGCAAGTATCTCCAGGGATAATTTCAATGCCATTACTGTTGGAGGCCCCCTCAGCAGAAGCACTTGGGTAGCTATTTGGTGAACCATTCTCAACTATTTCACTGAAAAGTAATAAAAAAAATTAGAAATTAATATAACTTGAGCTCAGATGCAGTTTGCAGCGGCATACATAGGCTCTGAGGGGACCTGTTTCAAGAATATCATAATTTGAAATTACTAATCTTTTACAAAAAAGTAATCCAGACCACGCTCGTCTTGATGCTGCACAGTCTTTGACGAGTATTAAAGTTGAAGTAGACTAATATCATCCCTGCCCGAACCCATTTATAAAATTGTAATCATCAAACAATATTATATACGTCTATTTACAATCTAGTCATATGTATTGTTTTACTTATTTTATTTTATTTCTTTATGGGGACAGGGCCCATGACTTCGGGGCCCTGGTTCACTGAACCGCCTGTACCTTTGTTAGTTACGCTACTGGCAGTCTAAACTTGTCATGAAAATCTAGAGGGCATCATATTAGTTGCAATTACTGTATCATGTATACTGATTTTTGCCAAACTGCCAGCTAATTGCTTGCTGTTTCTTTTGTATTACAATGTTAATGTCATAAAAACAATTGTAGTTGCGCTGTCGGTGACACTCCGAAAAATCATATTTGCAGATGGAAGGTAATGTGGCCATTAAAAAGAGCTCCACTTCTAAGCCACACCCAATAAGACTTTGTTGATAGGGCAGACAATGTAAAAGTTAACTTACACATTATTACCCAAAGTGTATTTCAAAGCTTCGCTCTTCTTTTACTTAAATTTACAAAGTACATAATTACAATATCTGATGTACAGACATAAGAAATGCTTTACAATAAATTAAGCAAATGCATTTTCAAATTAAACAAAGTCGACGAAGCTATCAATATACATGTTAGGTAAACAAAATTTAACATTTACATATCCACCTTCCACCTATCCACTTAAAAAAAACAATTAACACAAATAGAAATTAAGAGAATTTCTATGGTCTTCATTACACCTTTTAAAGATAATTTCTGCAGCATCACTGAAGCTTTCATCCACTAAGTCTTCAGGAGAACAAAAACTTGACATTGAGTCCAAAACATTAGCAGTCCGTGTCGGCGGATGGGCCTTTAAGACCGCTTCAACCTCAGGAAAATATTCCCTAGCATTTCTGTCAGTCATCGGTGGATTTTCACTCTTTAATGCTTTTTTGTGCTTGAAGTAAATCGTTTTGATATTCGCCATTTTACTTTTATAATCGGCTGCAGTCCGATTGAAACCCAGTTGCTTCATTTTCTCCGCTATTTCTTCCCAAATCGTATGATGACAAAATTTTGTATCAAACCTCTCTTGGAATTCGTCCATGCCCCATACTCTTATTAGATTCAGTACTTCGTTCCGTGGGAATACCTTCCTTCTTTGTCGTTCCAGTTCGTCTGTTCCTTTTGTATTTGCAACATTAATGTTTGATGTCATTCCTTGCTCAGCCATTATTTACAATTTCTTTTTTCTGGAGGTTAATGGAGCTGCTCTCCAAACCTCATAAAATTATAGTCAAAGTACAAAAAAATATTCTCTTTAGGCTAGGCCCTAGTTAAAATGTTTCTCTTCCCAATCTGGTGTTAGTTTTAAGGAAAAAAAAATATCAAATTCAGTCATGTATATTAAATAGTATATTGTTAGGGAAAGGGATCACACTTTTTGCAGTGGCTATTGTTACACTGGTCTTTAAATTAAATAATCATAAATCTGATTTAGGACCTATGTGTGAACAAAAATTAGGTCTAGAATTACGTCTGCTCAATTCGGAAAATAAGAACCGATTTCCACAGAGATATTGTTGAAAATTAGGCCTTTTTAACCTAGTCTCTTATTATAATGTAGCAGTTAAGCACCTACTTTCCTATCGATTCACCATGCAAACTTGAGTTTGTTTTTGATGTATCATCAACGGTGTAACGCAATAAAAAATTAACCAAAAAAAGACAGTTCAGTATGGTCTGAGCGAGTCCTCTAGGCTAGCCTAGCTAGGCCTCCTATATATAACTATGATGATGAGAGAAGCCTGTCCTGACAACTGGGCTAGCCTAGCCTAACCTCCTAATCCTAAGCTAAGTCCTACCCTAGGCTGATCTACTTATCATAATTAGCCTATGTAGGGGCCTAGGGCTAGGCCTCTACCTCCTCCTTGCTTGCTACTAATAATACTACTACCTAGGCCCTAGGCTAGCTGGGCCTAGTAGAAAGAAGAAGCCTAGGCCCTAGCCTAGCCTAGCCTAGGCCTAGCCTACTTACGGTAAAAAAAATATATAAATAAATTCGAAAAATTCTCCTAGGCCTAGCCTAATAAAGCAAATCTTTACAATTACTAATATAGAAACAATTCAATTTAAAAAGGATACAGAAAATATTGTTATTTTAGTAAATTTGTTGACAATTAATCAAACTTGACATGCAGCACAACGATGAGGGAAGAGACCATCGAGAGCGCTCTAACTAGAAAGGTCAAAGGTTGCTCTGTCAGAGAACAAGATCTAGGACTGAGCACAGCCTCGAAGTATTATTTTATCCTATAAATACATCATTGTTTTTATAGTATACAGTACTTACTATTTTATGTTATTGATCAAGATATAATTTAACTAAATATAAGTAAATTAATTTTCTGTTATATTTTTTTAAATTTTGAAATGAAAAATAACAAAATATTGTCATTTTGATTTGAAGAACAGATAGGTATAGGCCTAGGGCTTAGACAAATGTGCGGTGGGAGTGGGGTGGGGGCGTCGATTTGACATGCATGGACCCCACATTCACTGACCATACATCCCTATTTTCGGGGATTGACATCAAAGCCACAATAAGAACCTCTGGGAATAGTTTAGTAACTGGAGATAATTCCTTATGATGCTCAATTATGAAAATGTCAAGACAAATCAGAGGGAGATTACTGTAAAAGGTAAAAAAAAAAATAAAATAAAAGTAGGCCCTATATATCTTAACAAAAATTTTTTTTAATTTAAAAAAAGGTTATTTCTTTCGGAATGACGATTAAGGACAGAAAAAGTTGATACTGCAGTCTTCTCATTTATGAAAAATAATAAAGCATTTTTGAAAATAATGAAGTGATTGAAAGTATATAGGCCTATTCAAAGATTCAAAATGTTCTATATAGGACTATACATATACCTCTGACGCTGCGCGTCTAAAATTGTGGCGGTGGTGGACCTTACTATCATTCGATTCTATTTTTACCCGCCACTTTTGTAGCCCAGGTGACTTCCTTCCTTAGGAGGCTTTACCCACCAACCAGAACCTTACTGGGACTACAGAAAGGTTTGCCTAAAAATGAATTTGAATGAATTCAAAGCATAGAGCCTACGAGATTGCGGTTTAAAATATAGATGTTATCACACAAAGGCAAATGCTAGTGTTATAAAAGAGAACGAAGTCTATTATTGAAAAAAAAAATTCAACAGCAGGAAGGGTTTTTTTTTTAAATTTGGAAAGTGTGGTGAAAATTTTTAAATGGTATAAGGTTTTGCAGACGGGGATTTGCCAAAACCCCTAAAACCCTCTGAAAATATGAAAGTATTGTATATTCATTAGTCTATAGAGTAGCATTTAAAAAGTAGGCCTAAAGAAGTTAAATGAGTGAAACAGCTTAATGGTACAGGTTTAGATAGACATGCTTCCCCCAGCTTTTCTGTGGGTTTATCACACTTTAGACAGTGACCGCTGAACAGGGGTGGCGCCAGCGGGGAGAGCCGCCCCCCCCCCCGGTCGGGAGAAAAAGCACATTTCGTCGGGGAGAAAAAAAAATATGTGTATTTTCTACATAGGTCTATTAGTAGACTCTAAAATCGATTAAATAAGCATTTGAAACCCCTAAATTGTCATATTTATCCCCACCCGCAGACTAAAACTTTTCTCTTATAGGAAGACATTG